TAAGCGTCGAAGGTAAACAGTTCTTTGAGCTCCGTCCGTCAGTTCGGGGCACTCTCATCCAACTTCGTGGCGCTCTAACGTTTGCTCGGCGTTCTGCTTCTTGTGTTTGGATTAATCAGCGAGGAATTAGAAGTGGGGAAGGAGTGACCGATTGGACGACGCCTTCTAGACAGCAAGGCCAAAATGCTAGGTTTTTCTTTACGTCACGTACAAGCGGCCGGCGTGGTCGGGCGCTGATGGGCCAAGAGTGCAGCGTCAGCGTTCGGCTGGGGTTCGTGTTTTTCACCAGTTTAAGAAAAGTTCAAGACGAGAGTGGACGACGGTGCTCGTGCCCCACCCGCTCATCGCGGTGGCCTCTTGTTGGTGGCGTAATAAAATTCAGCACTATTCACACATACAGCGGAGGGCTGAGTGAGCGTTTCATTGGCGCTGGAAATAGCGCTCATGTGGCACCGACTTGCGCGTGACGTAGCGCTCGGTTAGCGCTTCAGAAGCGCTCCAGTATTAGCGGCGAGATGTTTCGGTGGCGCCCTCGTTTGGTTACCTTTCGTGACGTCATTACCTGGTGAACAACAACTCCCATGGTGTTTGTCATGGGCATGGTGGAAGCCTGAAATCATAGCGCTCTCAAAGCAACACTGCCAACACCGTCAAAATTGAAGTTCTTACATTCCTCTTATTTCCGTCGATGAGACATATTTTGTTGACGTCACAGTCAGCATTCGGCCAATTGTTGTAGGCCGACCACAGCGACGTGTTCGATCGCTCACGTTCGATTTGCTCTCCGAGCAAAAGGTCGGGCAGACGATCCAGACTCATGGACTCTTACCGACTAATTGATCAGGTACGACCTCGTCGCTTTCTATGCGATATGCGTGACCCTGCTTTCAAAGACACGCAGTTAATAAATAATCACCCTCGAAAGAGCTCTGTGTCTCGGTGCCTCATCCTGGGAACAAGGTTCTCCGGATACCCGTCGGTATCTCGGTGTCGAAGGATTTCGCGCATCCATGAAGGATCTTCTATGTGTTGAGCTGTCCACACATATATGCACCATACCTCGGCAAACCTCACTCATGAGGGCCCTCACTCACCCTCATCTTCACAGGTGAGGTGAGGGTGAGTGAGTTTCTGAACCAGGAAAATTCATGAGTGTGAGGGTGAGTGAGGGTGAGTGAGGGCTGTGAGGGCGGTGAGGGCGGTGAGGGCTGTGAGGGCGGTGAGGGCTGTGAGGGCGGTGAGGGCCGTGAGGGCCGTGAGGGCTGTGAGGGCGGTGAGGGCCGTGAGGGCTGTGAGGGCGGTGAGGGCCGTGAGGGCGGTGATGGTCATGAGTGCGTGAGGGGCGTGAGGGCGGTGAGTGGCGTGAGGGCCATGAGTGCGTGAGTGGTGTGAGGGCGGTGAGTGCGTGAGGGGTGTGAGGGCCATGAGTGCGTGCGGGCAGTGAGTGGCATGAGAGGCGCGAGGGCCGTGAGGGCCGTAAAGGCGGTGAGTGCATGAGGTGTGTGAGGGCCATGAGTGCGTGAGGGCGGTGAGTGCGTGAGGCCCCCTTCAGATCGAGCATCTTTCTCAGCAATTTTGGTGTTAATGGCGGGTTGTTCTCTAGCTTTCCCTAGATCGACACGAATTGCTGAGATCGGGTCCGGCTCGAAATAAGCAAGCAACTCGGAGCAATTCGAATACGTTTGAAGCGGCTGCATCCAATCAGGGACGCAAAATTTTCACGTGATACCTCGTGCCGGTGATGATGACACCGAATGAGTTGGTTCTGGTTTGAAATCGATCGTTTTTATTGGAAATAAACTGTTTCAAAAAGGTGCATTAGTATTCTTAACGAGGTTTAAATGCATAAAAACACGTTTATAACGCGTAATTTTGTCTAAATAGTGCAAGAGAAATAAAATTTTATGATGACGATGGCAAATTGCAGCAATTGGTTGCTGCGTGTGATCGCGGGCGGCCCGTGTTGCTGATGTTGCGACGTAAAGTTTCCGGGCGAAATTGCCCCATCTGAAGCTAGCCTGAGTGGCGTGAGGGCCATGAGTGCGTGAGAGGCGTGAGGGGTGTGAGGGCCACATGGGTGGTGAGGGGCGTGAAGGCGGTGATTGGCGTGAGGGCGGTGAGTGGCGTGAGGGCCGTGAGGGCGGTGAGTGGCGTGAGGGCCGTGAGGGCGGTGAGGGCCGTGAGCGCCGTGAGGGCGGTGAGTGGCGTGAGGGCTGTGAGTACGTGAGGGCCGTGAGGGCGGTGAGTGGCGTGAGGGCGGTGAGGGCGGTGAGGGCCGTGAGGGCGGTGAGGGCCGTGAGGGCGGTGAGGGCCGTGAGGGGCGTGAGGGGCGTGAGGGCCGTGAGGGCGGTGAGTGCGGTGAGTGGCGTGAGGGCTGTGAGTGCGTGAGGGCCGTGAGGGCGGTGAGGGCCGTGAGGGCCGTGAGGGCGGTGAGGGCCGTGAGGGCGGTGAGGGCCGTGAGGGCGGTGAGGGCTGTGAGGGCGGTGAGGGCCGTGAGGGCGGTGAGTGAGTGAGGGGCATGAGGGCCGTGACGGCGGTGAGGGCCGTGAGGGGCGTGAGGGGCGTGAGGGCCGTGAGGGCGGTGAGTGCGTGAGGGCCGTGAGGTTCAGTGAGGGTGAGTGAAGTGCTGAAGGTGAGTGTGACTGTGAGGGTGAGGGTGAGTGAGGGGCTGAAGGTGAGTGTAGCTGTGAGGGTGAGGGTGAGTGAGGGGCTTAGGTGAGATTGGCTGTGAGGGTGAGGGTGAGTGAGGGCGACCTAAAATGCCGACCTCTGATATGCACTAGTTGCGTATTGTAGAGCATTTGTCCCGCTTCTATTTCAGCGTCCCTCATGTCCGCCATGGTATTGTTGATGGACACCCAACCGCAGGAACCGGAACCGCAGTGCACGCGCTAATCCACAGCAATAGCCGCCCTACAAGAAGCACTAACAAGGCGCTACTGAAGCGCTAACAAGGCGCTACTCAGGCGCTAACAAGGTGCTACTGAAGCGCTAACAAGGCGCTACTAAAGCGCTAACAAGGCGCTACTAAAGCGCTAATCGCGCGCTATATTAGAACGAAGTCACGCGCTAAGAAGCGCAACATGAGCGCTCTTTGCGAGCGCTCACGTAGCGCTAGCTTAGCGCTCCGCTGTATGTGTGAACAGGCCTTTATGGATTCCCGATAAAGGGGTGTAGGCTGGTGTGGCGTATGGCTCTGGTATAAGTTGGCGCAGAAGTGGAATCCTCGCAGACATTAACGTAATTTGAACAACTACCAGAACTAAATGTCACCCCAGAAAATACGTAAATACTGCTGCATAAGCGTGCAATAAAACCATTCGTATCAATTAAATGACGTTCTATTTTTAATCAGAATACACTACGTTCTCCTCGTTTCAGTGAGATTATTGCTTGCTGTAATATAGTCACTAATACGAGAACAACGTTCTCCTCGTATTAGTGAATATATTACAGTAACCAATAATGACTTGTCAAGGAACAGGAAACCGTTATTCCCTGACAAATAAAAAAAAAAGATAAACAAATGAATAGAAATTAATAAGGATTGTGCACACTTTTATTATTAATATTCTTACCAGTTGGTGTCGTTTTTATTCGGTTGATAGTGACCAGGACTAGAGCAGCGCAGCGCTGGCTGCTGTTTTCGAAGATCTGGGAGGATTGTCCTCCCACGTCGTTGGCTCTGTCGGCTTCATTCTCCTCTGAACCAAGAAGATAAAAAACAAAAAGTGGGTTTTGCATAAAGCGCTTTTCAGAAAAGCCGAAGCAAAAAAAAAAAGCGCCAGAGACGAGATAAATAGCGCTCTCTTCCGCACACCCACTCCGTGCTTCCGAAGTATGTTGCGAGCGGCGCCGCCGCCTCGCTGGAGCCTCTCGAAAATCGATGCGGTCATAGCCGGAAAATAAAAGGCGGACCGCGGGCGTCTGCTATTCCTTTCGCTATCCTTTATATTTGGGTTTGTGTTGTCCGGAGTTCGGGGAATGGTGCCTGCAACGCCGTCTTCGACATGTGCTTACTGCCTCGTACAAAGTGGTTCCTCGGTTTCCGCCTGGTGACGTCGTAGGAGTGTCACGCTGTTGCCGGTGGCCATCCTGCCGGTGTAACAGCAACAGCGGTGGTGGCTGTGCCCGTTCTGCTGCAGGCTGCTCTCCATGCTTGGCACTTCACGGAAGCTTGGGCAGCCAGGAGTTGGGACACCGCGACGTTCGCTCCTACTTTTTTCTCTTTTTTTTTTTTGCTGGGATTTTTACCTTTAACTGCCAGGATCGCGACATCCTACGGCATGACACGCCTCTTTCTATGACGTCATTTGTTGCCACTTCGTAACCACTTTTGATATATGGGCCCAATGCGCTGAGAAACGGAGGGCGAGGAGGAGACGTCAGAACGCCCAGCTCTGATTGGTATGATAAGCGGGTAGGCCTAAAGCTATAGCTGCCTTTGTCTCCGCTGCACTCGTCGAATGCGTTAGAACGCGGAACGCCGGTGTCCGGTGTTTGGCTCTCGCGTTCGAATGCGTTCGACGAGTACAATGGCGACAAAGGAGCTTTCGGTCTACCCAAGAATCATTCCAGTCAGAGCTGGGCGTTCTGACGTCGCGCTCACTCTTGTCTCCTCCTGTCCCTCAGTTTCTGGGCGCATATAGACCTTCTTCGTGTACTCTCGTCCCCAGCCACCTAATAGGCGTATCCGGTATGGACGTCGAAAAAATATAAAAACGTTTCAACCTGCGATCAGTAAAAAAATAGACGGGAGGCAAAACGAGAGTGTGTGACGGTTACGCTTATATCCCAAATGCCTTCTATTGACGTGGCGAAGGCAAAACAATGTTTTCGCCCATACTGGAAGTGACGACAATTAAAGGTGGCGGCGCGGAGATGCGTTCGGATCTGGTTCCTTTTGCCCGCTTCGCGTCGAGGTGTTTCTTCAGCCTACAAAAGAGAAAGTTGTGTGGCGCTGACTTTTCTAATCTCTTTCTTTTCCCCTCTGTTTTCAGGAGCATCTAGCACGCTGCAGTTTGGACAGCCACAACGTGAGTTCTTCCTCCTCTCGAGTGTGCGTGCACGTGTCACACGCTCGGCGTTGCGTGTCTCTTGCGTTACGGGTGCGTTAAATGTGGCGCGCTGAAATGCATGAGCGCTATACGTTGAGAAACTGAAGGACAGAAAAAGATGAGGGCGTGTGGTGACATCAGAGTGCCGAGCTCTGGTTGGAACGTCAGTGGGTGGACGCGAAGCCTTGCTGGCTTTGTCTCGCCCCCAATAGCTGCTTTTAGCGCAGCGTCTCGCGTTCGAACGCGTTGGAGTAGAGACGAAAGCGGCTAACCTTCGCGTCTACCCCCTTCCAATCAGAGCTCCCATTTCCTCCTCTATCTCAGCTGCTCTTGGTATGGGCCAGCATTTTCGACGTTTTAGCGCGCGGCCATTTTTTTGCCGGGCGCGCCGCCCTGGGGGCATTTCGCGGGGACTGCGGCTTAGCAGACATTTTCGCCGTTTTCGCTGCGGTGTAAACCGCACACGACGACAAAGCAAACGGCACGCCCAAAGGAGTCGTGTAGTCTGTGGGTACATTCGCGCGTGCCACCGCTATTTCCGCAGTCCCATGCGCCGCAAGCGCCATCCGGTATCGAGAGTAGAGCGCCGCTCGCGTCTGCTAACGAGACTAAAAAAATGTCTGCTCTCTTGCATGTGCGTCGCAATATTTGTTTATGCTGACGCCATGACACAACAAAGGGAGGGGGGGGGGGGGGGGGGGGCGCTTTTGCCAGACTCCGTCTTTTTTTCTTTTTTTAGAAACGTTTGCACATATTGGGTAGTGCAAGAACGTCAGAAATGCAGTCACGAAGCTCTAAGAACAACACCGATGCCAAAAGTGCTGTAAAAAGTAAAAATCTCGTTTTATGCGGAGCTCCTTTCTTCGCAAGAGCCTGCGTTTAATATCATTATTTCCCATTTTTGTCGCTGGGGGCTAGGAGATCGCTCGCTGCTACTCACCCAGCAACGCTGGTCCGGTGCGAGTCTTGTGCCCCGCTCTCTGTGGGGATGTTTCAACGATCCACCAGCGATCCGGGGCCGCCGCAATTTTGCTGCCGTAAAAGGAACGAATTGTTGTAACTGGCTCGAGATCCACCGCCTAATTTTTTGTCTGCAGCGTCTTGACCTGTGATGAGCAGCTCCTCTACACTCTTACGATTCGAGCGTTTCTGCTCAGCGCTTGCGCAGAACTAAGTAAAGGACGCACACCTGGCGTAGAGAACCTGCCAGGACTTGCATAGCCAGGACTTGCATTCGCGATATACGAAGGAAACGTGGGAACGTTGGTAAATAAAAATATATCTGCTTGGACAGACGAAGAAAAGTTTATTATGGGAAAAGTAGAGTGGGGCATAGGACAGGCTTTGAGCAAGCATGGCTGCGGTGCAATGTTTGGGCGAAGTAGCATTATAATATCCCGTTTACAGACTCGAATAATGGGGGAAAAACAGTTCACTACGATTGCACACGATAGCATGTGCTATGCGGAGGGCAAGTTCGTCTGCTTCTTGCGCAGGGGGTAGCGGTGACGTCAGAACGCCGAGCGCTGATTGGCTGATCGCGACCCCCTATCTGAGCGTCGTCTGCTCCTTTGCAACGTCGTCTGCTCGCAACGTCGTCTGCGTCTGTCTTACCTTTCCTGCGACTTTCGGAAGTGCAGAGGCCAGATTTACAAAACGATCTTGCGCCAAAAATGTGCGTAAGACAAAACTTAAGAACATTCACGAAACGAAATTTTCGTAAGTTTCGCGCAGGTTACGACGAAATCCTACGACAGCTCCGAAGCTGTGTTACGCACCAGCATGGCCGACAGCGTCGCGGTCGCGACGATCCACGAACGTTTATTTTTCTACGCGCGCTTCTCACGCGTCCCGACTTCAAGCAGCAAGAAAAAAGTAAAAAGCACTTGAAACAGATTACGACGAACAAGAACGCAGGATCCACAAACACCCGGGAAAAGCTCCAACGGCCACGATTACACCGAACACGACCAAGCGAGTACGGCAGTTAGGCCTAGCATGCACTCCGCGACTCGGCGACCGTCTGCCCACAACCGGCTGGCGTGCTGAATGGAATATGCCCGCGCGGCCTTTGTGAACCCTTCCCGTATTATACTTTGATCGCTGACCACAATTTTAGATTAAGAGGTCAATTTCTTCCTCTTGTTATCTCCTTGTTTCCCGAGGCAACGGTGACTCTCGCCGGTGAAAAAGCGGTGAATCTCCGACAGACGCAGGAAAGGTAAAGCAACCATCGCTTTGACTAGCAGACGTAGAGCAGACGATGTTAAAGCGCGATCCAAACCAACGCTTCTTTTTGCGCCTGTAGGTCGTGCGGGTGCGGATGTGACGCATTCCGCGTCGTTTTTGCTGTTTCCGGGCGCGCTTTCTGAGTCAGAAGCGTGCGCTTTGGTTTGGACGGGCCAGCTACGGGCGGGGGCGCACGCGCGCACGCAGGCACGAGCGCACAAGCAAAGTGCAACAGCGACAGACTGGCCGGCGAGAGAAAGAGAGAGGGAGAGAGATCGCGTTGTCATGTTGGAAGAGAATAAAAGGGGGGGAGGAGAGGGCAGCCAGACGGCGAGAAACGCGGAGCCGGAACTAGCTTGCCCTCCACCGATTGGCCGGGACACAGGCGCGGCCTGCTACGTCACCGCGCTTTTTTGTGCGGCTTGAGAAAGAAGTTGAAATCAACCAACTTCTTCGTGCGCGCCCGGAAGGAGCGAAGAAGCGGCGCGACGTCACGAAAATACGTCACATCCGCAGCCGCACGACCTACAGGCGCAAAAAGAAGCGTTGGTTTGGATCGCGCTTAACTGCGCCAACCCGCCGACGCCGTTAAAGAATGAGGGGTCTCGCCGCACACGAAAGGAGGGAAAAAGTATTTGGGAGGGAACTTGCGGGGCACAAACACGCTTACCCTCTCTCGGTTCTTAGCAAAAAAACCTCAGCGCCTCGGGAGAGCTCGCCAGTGAGTCGTTTGACTTCCCTCCTTGATGCGCGTCTGCTAGTTGTTAGACAAAAACAACGTACCGCTCGAGTTATTTAGTCTGCCCCCTCTGAAAGGCGAAGTCGAGCTCGCTTCCGAAAGTCGCAGGAAGGGTAAGACAGACGCAGACGACGTTGCGAGCAGACGACGTTGCAAAGGAGCAGACGACGCTGAGACAGGGTGTCGCGATCAGCCAATCAGGGCTCGGCGTTCTGACGTCACCGCTACTTCCTTTCTCATGCGCAGAAGACGAAAATGAGCACACTTGCGAGGCGTATACTGTCGGAACCTGAAGACGGCTCCTAATGACGCCAATGGCGTAACCGCCCTTTGAATCTCTCCGTCAGGGATCTTCACAAGCCGACTTTCACTCGTATCCTCTTAAGCTCTTAATGGTTCCGCGAGATTTTGCCGGCAGGCGCAGAAGTGATATGGTCTGCATCATTGTGGTGGCAAGACGAGGAGTCGACATACCGGCTCGAGGTAGCCAAACGAGCAACTCCCTATTGAAGTCGGAAGTATATAAGGTCGCCGTCAGTGGGGACGCCCTCAAGGGAGACCAAAAGAGCCGTTGGCGCCAAATCAGCCGTCCTCTCCCGTTGGGGGCGTGCCTCTCCAAACCGGAAGTCCCCCCGGGTTCGCCTCTGGTGGCGTGATGTTGCCTGCAGTCGCTTTCTACCTCGTTGGTTTTCAAGAATACTTTCGAACGGACTCTTCCTCGAACAATCAAAATGAAATAAGCAAAAGATATGAAACCCCGCGTGTGTTCCTCGCCTCCGCGTGAGGCAGAAATGTGCGTCACATGTTTCCGTCATATCTTGCGTGCTTGCGTGCATGCCTGCGGGACTCTGCGCGTGACCATTTCTAGTGCTAGTAGCGCGCTCGACCTCTTTGTCACTGGAACCGAGTTGCGCGGGCTGCAATTTCTGGAAATGAATCGTTTATACGCTACCGAAGCGCGTCATCGGAATTCCAATAGCGCGTTTCTCCTTCTATGTCCTTCGTTTCGGGCGGTTGTAGATTTCTCGCTTAGTTCCCGCCGAGTGACGCACTAGGAACTGTCACGGGGCTCGTGCGAGGAGTCGTCTGGGATGCGGACACCGCTTCTCTCGGGTTGGAAAGCTACCGACACGTAAAGGAGGTGCCTAATTTTTTGTTTCGTCGCAGCTAAACGTTCCTTTTCTCATTGACTGAGCGAAACGGCACCTAAATTCCCATTTGCTGCGACGCGTCATAGTTCCAGGGTACGCCACCCGGCAGAAAAAGTTCTCTTCCTAGCGCTGCGCCGCGCGCGCCAGAAAAAGGGAGAGAATGGCGCGCGCGCGGCCGCCGCTCTCTCTTCGCTCTCGGGTCACGTGTCAGGCGTGACTGGAGAGGGGGGAGGGGTAGCGGGAACCAGAGCCGTATATGTAGAGAGTTTGGCCATTCGTTGGGAAGTATAGGAGACAAATGAGGAGGCGCCATTGGCTGAAAGCGGGCTGGGCGTGTTCCAGGGCGTCTTCACAAATTCGAATGTGACCAGCCAGAAGCCGGAAATAATACCCTGGCAGTGGTCGCGAGAAACAAACCTGATAACTGCATCAGAGTAACTCTCGATGACTGAAAATATGGTACACGTGACGTTTCAATCACGCTCATCAAAAATGATGGTGGAAGAGTGCGACTAGCGGAGCAATCGACATAATCCCTACGCCAAGCGCCGAGGGCCGGGAATCTCCCGTCCGAGCGGTCACACTCTGTCCGAGCAAAACAGAGTCGAGCGGCGCATTCGTTTCTTGCATCTTTCTGCATGATCATGATCAAAACAACACATGCACCCTCTTTTCAACCATGAAGAGTTACTATACTTCACTCTTACGCGCCTATTAAAACCATTTACGAACACAGACCTTTGATCAGAACTGTTTCTCGCTACCACCGCTAGGGGATTCTTTTCGGCTTCTGGTTGGTCAAGAGAGTATGCCAAGCCCACGCCCTGGCTCTGCCCGCGCCTCCCATTGACCAAACTCTC